AGTCTCCCTCCAACCCCTCCAAGACAGATACAAAATAAATAGATGTTTTAAAATACTGTGGATATAGATATCCTAGTCTTTCCTCTCTTTCACTTTTTGAAAAGACAGGGCAAGAACGCTTGGCTGACTGCTGGACCCACTGACAAAACACTAAATAAACCGGTGGCACACGCCTGCCATCCCAGAGCTGGAGAGGTGGAGGCAAAAGGATCAGCGGTTCAAGGCCATCTTTGGATATATAACTGATAAAAGCCAATCTGGGACACAAGACTCCAAGTCTCAAAACAACCAAATAAAAGACGTAGCCCACAGTCTGCAAGTGTAATCCTGGAAGACACCACTGTCTGCCCACGACTTCCAATGTCCCATCCCAAAAGTCTGTCCCCAAGGAGAGCCTCCCTGTATCACTTGCCTAGAAAGCAAATTCTTGGCACATTTTAATTTTGCCTTTGACTCTTTAAAGACTTGAAAACTTTAAAGTATGTGTGTGTCTATGTGTTATGTGCCCGTGTGTGTGTGTGTGTGTGTGTGTGTGTGTACACCAGTGCACATGTGCAGAGGCCAGAAGAGGGCTCCATGCCTCTAGCGTGCTCCACATTATTCTTTCAGGCAAGGTCTCTCCCTGAACCTAGGTCCTCTTTTTCTCAGCTAGACTGGAAGCCAGTAAACCCCAGGGATCTCCCAGTCTAGGTCTTCTATAGAGCTGGGGTTATGGGCAACGGAGAGGCACCCAGCCTGTTACATGCAAACATGGATCTCAAATCATGCATGCACAGAATGTGCCTTTAGCCACTGAGACAGCTCTTCAGCCCCCACTTTTGTCACCTACTCCCAAGAAGAGCTGAAGCAAACAAGCCCAAATCAGGAGTTCCATGGGACAAGGTAGCACTGGGTGGCTCAAGATGAACACAGCCTAAATTAAACTCTTCCTCAGCGTGACCTTGGGGTCCCACCGGTCCTGTGCAGATGTCAGCCTCCTCTTTCTAAGAAGCTCATGAGGATGAGACTATCTTAAACACAATCCTCTCCTTTTTTTTTTTTTTTTTCCAGAGCTGAGGACCGAACCCAGGGCCTTGCGCTTGTTAGGCAAGCGCTCTACCACTGAGCTAAATCCCCAAACCCCCCCCCCTTTTTTTTTTAAGAGAAGTGAATCCATTTCTTTTTACTTTATGTATATTGGTGTTCTGCCTGCATGTATGTCTGTGTGAGGGTGTCAGATTCCCCTGGCGCCGGAATTACAGACAGTTGTGAGCTGCCACATGGGGGCTGGGAATTGAACCTCAGTCCTTCGGAGAAACAGTCAGTGCTCTTGACCACTGAGCCACCTTCTCAGCCCCCATAATCCTCTCCTTAACACTCACGTGATACAGAAGCGTGGACCCCAAAGCCCGGTGCACCTCGAATTGTGTTAGAGGGTCTGGGTCAAGGCAGTGTCCTGGCTGAAGTGACCCTGAGAGCCAGACCCCTGAATTCCTAATGACCACCATGTAGAAGCACATGGGCTAACGTGCCAGAACCCGTAGGAGAAAACTTGTCCCCTCAGAATGCAGCACCCCAGAATGCAAAACCAGATTCTAGTCTGATTGCAGAGTAGAGCCAATCAGCTCTACAGCCAATCAGCTCTACAGACAGTCCTTCCCTGTCTTTACAAAGTGTTTGTGTGCTTGCCGTCTGGAAAAGCAGCTGTTCCTCAGTCCGAGAGTGCAGACACACCTGTACTGCTCGGTGAACAAGGGAGCGTCAACCACACGTCACCAGCAGCTCCCTCCCAGATGACAATGAGCAGACAGAATCTGAAAATGTCAAGCTCCCTGGGTCCCAGCCCCAGCAGCCCATACCTGGGCGTGGTGCTGGGTGCCTGTGATCTTTACGCTCACAAGGGAAGGTAGGACGATCAGAACTTATTCTTAGCTACATATGGGGTTCAAAGCCAGCTTGGGCTAAATGAGGCCCTGTTCCACAAACAAACAAACAAACAAACAAACAAACAAACAAACAGAAGAACCTTCAAAAACATCCGAGACAGGCTGGTGCGATGACTCAGCAGGCAAAGGTACTTTCTGCCAAGGCTGAGGAACTGAGTTCCCATCCCCAGAACCCAAGGCAGGAGACAACTGATCCCCTGAAGCTGCCCTCTGACCTCTACACACATGCTCTGGCATGCACACCACTGCACATACCCACTGATAACAAATAAAATAAAATAATAAAAATAAATCATCCTAGACAGAATTGGGCAAGTCAAGGCCTGGTCCTGGCTTTCATCTCAGACATGTCCTTCCCCTCCCTTGGGCGCCTTAGTTTCCCCATTTGTAAGATTAGCAGATTGGACTTCTGAAGCTAAGGCCTCTGCTGGTTCCAACATCCTAGGTCCAAAAGTGACCAGCATGCAAATGTGAGGGCAGCTGAGCCTGCAAATCTAGGCCAAGGGACACTGGAGCCCGAGTGAACCGCTGAGCAGCAACCGGCAGAGCACCAGGCCCAACCAGCCGTTTTGAGATGGGACTGGGATTTAAGACAGGGGGATTAGGAGTCAGCCTAAGGTGTGGTGGCTGGGACAGCTTAGCACAGATCCACCTGTCAGCTCCCTGGCCCCTGTCTTGGTCCATCTGGAAGTGATCAAGGCAGCCTGGCCTGTGGCAGGAAAGGAAAACCAAACAAGAACTCCCAGGAGAGGAGGCCTGGCGCCAGGGGCCGAAAACAGAATGACTCTGCCAGGCCAGGCCAGGCTGCGCCACCTGTCCAGGCTCCGGAGAAGCAAGGCTGGATGGAACACCCAGAAAAACCCAGAAGCTAAGAGATCATCCAAACTGAGCTCCACGTGGCCAGGACCCCTGGAGATCACGTGAAGGACCCCTGAAGGAAGTGTGGGCTTCAGTTCAGCTCCACCTGCCGAGCCCTTCTGAGGCACATGGCTGGTCACGTGAAGGCGGTGACTGGACAGCTGGAAGCTCCCCTCCACCTGCCACACTGCAGACCCTCTTGCCGGCCTCCAGGCAACGGACACCACCGAGGGTGTTCCTGAGGCTGCGGAGTGCAGGATGCGCTTCCCTGAGAGCCCGAGAGCTGACCATAAAAGTGAAAGGAAACGGCAGGCAGATACAGATTCCTCATACCCCGTGGGGAACCATCTGGAACTTTCCCAGCGCCTCTGATTCCCTAGAAGCCCGCCCTAGAGTCGCTTTTTGATCTGTAATTGCAACAGGAGAAGCCTACAGCCCAAGCCCTCCCAATCCTCTAGTCCAAGGGGTGGGAGAGGCTCCCTGTCGGCCTCAGAACAGGGAAGGGCAAAAGAGCAGAAACATGATGGTATGATGGTGTAAATCTGGAGCCTCCCCCCCACCTCCTGCCTAAAATCCAAAAGCAGAGAACATCAGTGGGAGCCACCTCTTCTGTTCCCAGTGTAGACAGAGAAGGCCCCGAGCCTGTGACGTCTGGAACGCAAGCAACAGCTGGAGGGTCCAGCATCCTGCCCACACCCTGGGAGTTCGTGGGCTCTCTAGTAGGAACAAGGGCAGCCCTTTGGGCCTCCCATGAAGTCCAGGAATCTTGCCCTTGACCGTCAGTCATGTGTGAAGGTCACACGTTAATCCTTGCCTTCTGTATGGTGTCCTGCCCAGTGCCTCTCAGTGTCCCTGCTGTCCAGCCAATGGCCAGCTTGCCCATTCCTGGCTGTCTTTTTGAATTAAGTATGAGCAAGTCTGGCTGCTGCTGTTGTGATTTCAGTGCTGTGGATGCAACCCAGGCCCTCACAGACAAGCAAGCCCTGTACAATTAAGCCCCGCCCCCTCCCCACCTCCGGAATTATCAGAACCTTTCCATTAGCTAGCTCCCCTGCCAAGACCTAGAACGGAATGTGTGTCTACACTACCTTGGGCAGCTCCTGGCTTGCAGAAAATGTTCGGTCTACCTCTGCTTCTCTCTGTGGGATGCCCCACTACACCCCCGGCCTGCCCAGTCCATCTCATCATGGACTCCAGGCCTTTAACCTCACCCTCAACCCAACCACAAAACCCACTCCCGCTACCTGAATGGCACCCCGCCCAGCACAACCCACTCACCCACGATATAGCTCCATATTATGTACTGCTTCTGGCATCTCCTCAGCTCTGACACCTTCCCCTGCTGTCCCCAGGGATGCCAACCTCCTGGCGACTACATCAGTACTTTGCTTGTTTATTTTTCTTCTCCCTAAGCCCCCTAATACAGGAACACAGAGTTTGCGCCACCAATGCCTCCCTGCAGTCTGGGAGCTCAGTGCTCCCATCTTGGACGAGGAGACAGGCTGGGGGGGGGGGTGACTGCCCACCATCCCTCACACAGCCAGCAGGAGAACAGCACCCACTAGGGCCCTTGTCCCATCGACTGCTGACTTCCTTGATTTCCTGATTGGGAAGGCCTGGCCTTGGGTATTACCCAACCACCAACAGAGTCACCACCAGCCACTCTCCCTCCAGCTGCTCCTTTCTTTCTGTCTGGGTTGGGGGAACCTTTGATCAGTCCTGAGATATTGGGAAAGGAGTAGCTCCCCCCCCAGGGACCCCTGAGTAACTGGTCTCCGTGGGGAAGCTGTTCCACCCTCCTCTTAAGAGGCCAGGCACCTTCAAGTTAGCCTTCGAAACAAAAGCCAGAGGAGGCCCTGGAGGGGACAGGCAGGGATCCTGTACCTGCAAGCCTGAGTCACCTACCTAGGCCCTGCCCCTTTCACTCTGTTCCCGACTTCCATCTCTGAATTCCCAGAGTGGCCAAGGACCTGGCTCAGGGCCACACGCACCATCAGAGGCGCAACCCACCACCTTGCAAGGTCCCCCATAGCAGCTTGCAGGACAGATCTCCTGCTCCTGCCCGGTGGCTGAGGAAAAAAAAAAAATCTCAAAGTGGCCAACTTGGTAATCAGGCTTGGTTGTTCCCTCCTCAAACGCAACCCCAACAGTCAGGCCAAGTACGAGCAAACCTCCTATCTGATAAGTACTGTGCTCTCCCCTGCACCAGTAACTCACCTACAGAGTCCTTGCTCTGCTGCTCGGGAATGCCTAGCCTCAGCCTGGGGCTCCGTCATTCCTATTACACAGGCGAAGAAACCACGGATCCTGGAAGATACCTCTGGCTCTCTATCCCTCGATTTCTTCTACAAGCATGAATCTTAATCCGGTAACAGTCAGAAAGAAAGAGTAGACGGTGTCCACCCCACGTGCAAGGACAGGGGCTCCCGCGGCTAGTGTGCTTCCCTATTCAAGTTCTTTCCTCTCAAAAAGCACCCAGTGGCCAGGTGCCTCTGTCCAGGCTCAGGCACATGGTACCTGTCCCCGCCAACAGGGGGCCCCCGAGGCCGAAGCCGGAGCGACGCGAGAGGCGGGAGTATCCTCCGCCGGCCGGGTGCGGCTGCGGAGGGTGCAGGGCCCGGAGTCCCCTGGGAAACACGTCCGGCATGATGCTCTGGGGCGCACGGATACCCGACCTGGACCCTACGGGACACCTCCCTGCGCGAGGGCGCAGACTCACCCCAGAGGCGGCGGGTCACGCTGAGTCTCTGCCCGGAGGCCCGGGGCTGGGGGTTCCGCGACACCCCCACCCCAGACAATCTCGGGCCGCGGAGCCGGAGACGGGGAGCGCCGCGTGGAGAGGGCGCACAGCCCGGGGACCTCTGTGGGGATCAGCCAGCACGGCCCGAAGCGCCGAGAGCCGGAGGGAGGGACCGAGGGCGCCCGCAGGAGGCACCGCCCACCTGCCCACCCAGCGCCCTACGCCACCAGGCGGGGACCGGGACCCCGGGGCGGAGCAGGCTGGAGGACCTAGAACTGCACAGCGCAGGGCAGGGTCCGGGGTCTCGCACCCTGCGGCCGGAGGATGGCTTTCTGGGAGTCCCTGCTCCGCGACCTCACCTGGCCGTGAACTTACCTTGCTGTGCGCGGAGGCCGCCGCCGCCTCTCCACCGGTGACTCCCGGCCGCCCAGGGAAGGAAGAAGAAAGCGAAGTTTCCCCAGCCTCTCGGCTCGTGCTCTCGGCCAGCTCCGGGATGCCCTCCGGATCGCCACCTCGAGAACTAACCCGGGTGGAACGTGCCGCTCGGGAGTGTCCCCAGGAGGGGCGCGTTCCCAGCTTGGCAGAAAACTTTCCAGTGAATCACCGGCTGGTTTTCTCCCTCCGCCTGGAGCCGGGTAGGGTGCTCCGAGCTGAGCGGCGCCTCACCTGCCCGGAAGTTTGCCTGGGAACGGCGCGACTCCAGACGCGGATCTGCCAGCTCTGAATTCCGACCTGGGTCGCTTCGTGGGTGCGCCTCCGGCTCAAGTTCAAGGCCTGAGAAATCCTTGGGTAAACCGGCATCGGAGAAGTCAGGTGAGGGCCAAAAGGCGCCTCCTACTGGGGATGACCGCTTTCTGGATAAGCTGTACCCCTTGGCTGCAGCCAAGCTCACTTGGAATTCCTGATCCGCAAATTCATCGCGCTGTGTATCTCCGGAGTCCAATCACACACTCTTACACCGCTACCTCTTACTTGCAGTAGCAGTTAGCAAGAGATTAAGTTGGGGATGGCTTGTGATTTGGGAGGTGCAAAAGGCGTTTTTGGAAACAGGCTTGGAGCGCAAGAGTAACTGCTGTGTCTCAACATCCTCACATCCTTACTCCGAAGCCGGCCTGGGTTCCCACCCTGTCCCTGAACATCTCCCTCAGCCCATCTCAGACCTGCAGGTGGTTGTTGATTATACCCGAAGCCCAGACCCCTCGGTTGCAGTTCACCCTGACACACTCTAGGGAGGTCATTCAGACAGTCCCAAAGGTGGAAGCAGGGAATACTGGTAGTTTTCCATGCCGGGATCCAGCCCCAGACCCGCCCCGCTCTGTGTCTAATCCAGCTGGGCAGGTCCATGTATCTCAGAAAACCATCTTCCCAGCGGGGAGAGGCCAAGAGCTTCAGAGCCAAAGCTGAGCTGCTGTGAGCAGAACCAAGAGAATGGCAGAGAAAGTGTGTTCTGCTCCCGGGCTTCCCCCTGTTCACCCCTCTGTCCCAATGTGGTTCTGTTGCCTTGTATCTTCCCACATGGGAGCTGCATGTCCACTTATCCCACTTCATGTCAGCCGGAGACATGTGTCCTGAAGGGAAAGATCCAAAGACATGATTCTCAAACACTGACTGCCTATTACCTGTTGTGCTGGCCGGTTTTATGTTAACATGACCCAAGCTGTAGTCATCTGAGAGGAGGGAACCTCAATGGAGAAAAATGCCTCCCTAAGATCCAACTGTAGATAACCTAGAACCCCTGCACAGATGTAGCCCATGGCAGCTCAGTGTCCAAGTGGGTTCCCCAGTAATGTGAACAGGGACTGTCTCTGACATGAACTCACTGGCTGGCTCTTTGATCACCTCCCCCTGAGGGGGGAGCAGCTTTACCAGGCCACAGAGGAAGACAGTGCAGCCAGTCCTGATGACACCTGATAGGCTGGGGTCAGAGGGAAGGGGAGGAGGACCTCCCCTATCAGTGGACTTGGAGAGGGGCATAGGGGAAGAAGAGGGAGGGAGGGCCTTTCAGGGGAGGCCACAAAAAGTGAAGTGAGTTACATTCTTGGATCGGCCAGCACTGAGGAAGTGCAGGATTTGAACTGAGGGACTCGGCAGGACCCTGGCTCTGAACAACTATGCCAGGAATTTCCAAGTGCTGACAGAACAATGTCCGCCTAAAGTTATCCACACCTCAGTCTCCAGAACCCAATACTTTAGATGTAGAGAGACTGCAGCTGTGATCAAGCTGTGAGTCTGGAGATCAGGGCTCATCCAAAGTAGACACAGGGGGGTTTATAAATAGAAGGGAGGAGGGCCAGTCACGTCAGAGGCGTGACAGTGGAAGCAGGCACCAGATACAGCTTCTGAAAGGAGGCTGTTAGCCAAGGGATGTTAGCAGCCTAGAGCTGGAAAAGGAGGGATAGATTATGTGATAGATATCCCAGAAGGGTCTTCACACTGGCTGGTGTGGCACATTGATTTTAGATTGGGAGGAGCTGGCACCGATCTCCACAACTGTAACCTTGTTGCTCTAAGCCTCAGCAGTTCCTGGCAGTTTGTTACAGTAGCCATGGGGAATGAATATATCTAGCACTCTCAGCTGTACAGGCCAATGCTGATTTCACCAGCCCTTCTGCTGACTGTCCACTGTCCGCTGTAAAGCTCTTCTCTCAAGAGACACCAGGATATAGCCTGAACCACTGATTTAGAAAGAGGGTAAGATTTCATCAGATCTGTCTGTATTTTTTTTTTTTATTTTTAATTTTTGGCTTCTCTGCCATTTGTGAACTGTGTGACCTTGGGACAATGTCTTATCCTCTCTGGGCCTCAGTTACTGTCTTTAGTTATAAAAGCAGTGATGCTGGCTGGGCACTTAGGGGACCCATGCCTGTGGCCCCAGATTCTGTAGATGCTGAGGCAGGAGGATTGCACATTTGAAGCTACCTTGGGCAACCTTCTTTTGTTACCAGTGCGGACTGAAGCTTGGGCTTCACTGTGCGAACCACACGTGAAAACCACATTGCCAGTCCTATCTTGAGCAACTTAATGAAACTGTCTCCCAAACAATAAGCTAATTAGTTTAATTAAATAATTCCCAAAATAGGGGCTGGAGACGTAGCTGAGTGGGTAGAGTGTTTGCCCTACCTTTGTTTCCTAGCAGGGCATAAACCCCAGCGTGCTGGCACACTCCCGTAATCCCTGCAATGAGGAGGAGGAGGCAGAAGGCTCAGAACTGCAAGGTCATCCTATGGTACGTACTTAAGTTTGAGGCCAGCCTGGGCTACATGACAGCTTGTCTTATGGTGAGGATTACAGTGATAAACACACAGCCCATGTGTGGCCCCATCTGTGGCCCTGGGTCCCTTCCTCAGCACATCAAGAAGGAAAACAAAACAAAAATAGTGATGCTAAAAATACCCACATTGCAGGATCAATATGAGGCTTAGATGCAGCGGGATTTGGTGGAGTTCCGTGCGAGTCCCCATGTCATCTGGACTTCAGTTGTTGGGGACACTGTGCTTCCCACTCTGGAACACAGGACCTCTCTGCTGGGCCCTTTCCTGAACTCTGGCTGAGCATAAAAGTCTAGTATGCAGGGGGATCAGAAGTTCAGGGCCACCCTTCTTATCTAACAGGTTTGAGACTAGCTTTGTGAGGGTCTGTCTCAACGCACACACACACACCACCACCCGAAACCCAACCAACCAACCAAACAAACAAACAAAAAAAAACCCTCACTAATTAAAAAAAAAAAATCCATATATTGTCACTGGTCAGTGACTAGAACCTTTATCTGGAAATTAAAATATCTCTTCAATAAAAAAGTATGCCCGAGAGCCAAGCCAGCAAGTGCTTGATGGACACGCCTGAGGACATGAGTTCAATTCCCAGATCCAAGGGAAGGTGGGAAGGACAGACCTTTCTCTGGCCTCCACATGAGCACTGTGGCATAGGTATGCTCCCATCAAACACACATCATAATAATAATTGTTTTACGTGCTCACAGCTAGCAGGACAGTTCAGTACACAGCAACTTGAATTTGATCCTAGAAACTCACAGGGCAGAAGGAGAGGTAGGCTGCCAGAAGTTGCCCTCTGACTCCCTTATGTGTGTGCGCATGTGAAAACATAAATGGATACATGTAATTTACATTTTTTAATATGTTTATAAATATTTAGAAGTTGGTCAAGAGCCAGCTGTCAGTCCTGTGCTTTCCATTGCTGGCTGTGGCTTCTGCCATCTGTCACTATTTTCCCTCCCAGGTTCCTGGTTTTCCCACTTACTTGAAAAAAAAAGAGAGAGAGAGAGAGAGAGAGAGAGAGAGAGAGAGAGAGAGAAAGC